TACCAAAACAAGCACAGCCTCTGGGAATAGTGAGACCGCCAAGCTTGATTCATTTTTCTGCTCTAGCCCAACAATAGCTGAAACCCTTTGTTAGGTTCCTGAGTGAAACTTAGGTAGAAGAGACCAATAAACTGCAGTGTCCTGCTGAAACCACCAAGTTAGTGAAAGGTCTTGAGTCCACGCCTGGTGAAAAGTGAGTAAAGAAACTGGGGCTGTTGAGAGAAAATCAAACTCAGTGCGGGTCACGGCTATTGTCAAGTATTTGAGAGGAAGGCAGGTGGCATAGGATTTGACAGACATTCTTACTGAGGTCAGATAGCTCTAGAGCTGGAAGAGACCTCTAGGCTATCTAGTTCAATCTCCTCATCTTACAAATGAGGCAAGTGGACTAGGAGGAGGTTAAGTGACTTGACCAAGGACACACAGGGGGTAATCACCAGAGAGGAGATTTGAACCCAGGTCCTCTAACTCCAGTCAGTGTTGGGGTTGTTGTTTTTTCCCCCTATCCCATTGTACTATACTATATCAGAAGGTACAACCAGAAGCAGTTACAAAGGGTAACTTTAAGCTTGGTAAAAACTTCCTAAACAACTCTATTCAGAAACTAAACACGCCACTCCAGGAGGCCTTGGGTAGTTCTCTCACTGACGGTCTTCAAGGAAAGGCTAGATGACACCTTGTTGGGTATTCTGTAGAGACAATTCATTTTTTTAGGTATAGGTTGGACCAGATGTGTGGGGAGGTCCCTTCCAACTGTGAGACTCAGTTGACTCTTTGGTTGTGATGAAATCATTCTGTTTCTGTTCTGCAACATTGAAGATGGAGCTTTAAGTCCTTACTTTAAACATTATTTTCTAAACATTAGTTTAGAATTTCTAATAAAAATATAGTTCTTACTTATTTCCTAGCCTTAAATTAGTTTTTTCCCCCTCTTCCTTCATAATTTCCAGGTTCTCATACCTTCAGAATATGGAATCTAAGGGATCCATTGACTAAAATAGAATTTGAAAATGACCTCACAGGCTTATCAGTAATATTCCTTTATGGATACAACCTATTTTTTATGTTTTAGCATCAAATTGCTGAATTCCATTAAATGTAGGTCTGAATAATCCACATATCCTTTTCTGTTATTGCTTTTACTGACAAACTTTGGACTACATTTGTTTTACACATATGTATGATTCTTCTACTTGCCAAACTTTTTATTAACAATATTTATAACATACTGATAAAGTTTTGCATATTATTTCTTTCTTCTATATTTATATCATGTCCCCATAAGTGGTAACTTCCATATAATATGGTTATATTATATTCCATCTTTTAACTCACTGACTGAAATAAGAGCAGATTAACCATGCAATTCTAAACACAAAACTTAATAGCACCTTCTCCATCCTGAACTAAGTCAAAGCCAAATCATTCCTTATTGATAAATGAGGATGTTATATCCAGTCATCTGTCCATTTTACAGTACAATAGGCTAAACAACCTGGTGACTGTGCCACATAATGCATCTATTACATCCCAAACAAGTCCAATTTTACATATAAGTGGATCCCAAAGCCCAAAGTCTCTGGTGGAATAAAGGAGACCAGAGAAAACAGTTAAAAAATTCTTATCGAAACATCATAGACATGGGAGAGTATGTGTATTTGTAAGCATAAAAGAATCCCAATCCTCCTATCACTGCTGCTATTCACCAAGGTAAAGAGAGAGAGAGCAAGAGCTGGGCTTCCACTCCGCTTTGCATGATGATCCCAGCTAATTTCTTAGAGTCATAGGGATAGAACGGAGATGGTTCCATCACTCTGGTGTTTGAAAGAATACCTTACTCATCCAATTCTGGGATCCAACAAAGGCTCTCAAAACCAAAACATCAGATATCATTTCTTGCAATGTTCTTAAGTCTCTGGAGCATAGAACTCTTAAACACGTATTTGGGCTTCTTTCAGACACTAAGGATCTCTACTTTAGATATGATTATAACTGAAGTAACAGCAGACTAACTGCATCGCCCAAAAGCCCCCTACTGGACTAAATTATATTTCCTTAGCTTGTTGATAGGACAGCTTGTCAACTTGGAACAGATTCAAGACTTTAAAAAAATTTTTTTTGATGGAGTTTAATGATAACACTACCAATTGTGCATTATAACAAATAAGGCATGCGAGATTTACTAGAATTTCACTTTATTTCACAAAGAAAATGACCACACCCAATACAGGCTGATATATAAAATTATACAGGTTGTCTACAAACATAAAATTAAACCCTAATTAAAAAAGAAAGCTCAGGTTTCTCATTTCCCTGTGCATCAAATATCTTTTCTGTGCATTAAGCATCCAACGAACTTGACAGGTACTTTGTAAACTGAAGAGATACAAAGGGGTCGATGGGAAGAACAATCTGGCCGTCAGTTCCTATAGTTATATGGGGAAAAAAAAAAAGAAGGGGGAAATACACTGTCATTGTTGCTCTTCTAACCCTTATTTCTAATTGAAGTCCTGACTCTGGTCAGAAGGAAAATGAATATAGTGATCTAACACTTCTCCTATGTAATACGCACACACACCACAAAAGTCTCATTTTCACTACCCTCAGTGACATATTCAGGTTTCATCTTTCCTACTTTTAAAATTTTAACATGAATTCATATTATCCAGAAAATTAATAAAGTAATAACATAAAAAATTGTAGCCAAATTTGTAATGTGAAAAGTTTTTTTCTTGCTGAACAAAAATGAATGGAAAACACAAACATTAATTATGTATTCTGGTATTGGTGCTTCAGTTAGGATATGTCCAACTTTTAAAAGTCAAATGTAAATTTGTCTCCTGTGTGCAGATGGAAGCCATGGAGAGTACCTTTTTGGTCTCAGCCAGAAGGTCGGGTCATGGCTGAAAGACCAAGGAACAAATGCTATTTGCCATTCCAAACTATTCAGAAATAAGACACCACTATCCGTCCTTTTAAAAAGTCTGTTCAATGAATGCTGGTGACAACAAGTACATAAGAGATTTCTTCACATTCTGTTAAAGATACAGGACAACGCACACTCGTTACTGTGTGAGGGTTTTTATGTCCAATGCCATGGCCTCTTAGAGAGTAGAACTTCTGTCTAAAGGCTTACTTTTTAAAAGTAATTCTAAGGGTTAAGAACGTACAAGATAAAAAAAATCTGAACACTTTAAACTTTTTTAATTCTGAAATTTCATTCTCAAAAATATGATTTACTTGTCAGTAACAACATGATGTGTAGATTGTTACAGGGGAAATAGCTATTAATAACCTAGAGTTATATTGGTTACTACAGTGAAGTTTATAACAGGTGGAAGAGAAGAGACAAGGTATTAATAGTACGCAAGGTAACCGAGAATTTTCTGTTTTACGTTTTCCTAGGTAGACTAAAATCCTATGCCTAAAGTATGCCGTAGAAGACGATCAATGGTAATACAATGTATAAAAACACTCTACTTTAAATTTTCCAGTTAATAAGCACACCAAGTTGATACAACTCCTTTTTTCAATATCAGAAAATAAGAATTCCTCCTGTTTTTTCAACCTCACTAGGCCTTACGAACCTAGTAAACTAATTCTCAGACCTACTAAATATCATATCCTCCACTGGATCCGCTAAGAGTACATTTAAAAATATCTTTGTTGAGAATTATGGCATTTTAAAGTTCAGAAAAACCTTATTGATCTTCTCTTTTACATTTGACAGATAAGGAAACTGAGGTCCAGAGAGGCCATGTGACCTTTTAAGGTCACACAGCAATCTGTTACTTTCATGTCCACTGCTCTTTCCAAAATAATTTTCACTGTCTACTTTAGGCTACCTCTAAAATAATAATAATAATAATAATAATAATAATAATAATAATAATAATATTGATTTAAGTATAAAAATGCATTATTTTCTTTTGTACTATCCATACTTTCAATTCAGTGGCAGAGGTTTCATACAAATTCTCAATTAAGACTTAGTAGATATTTCATGTCCAATTTCTTCACTTAATCGGCATATTTTCCAGTTTATTTTATTAAAAGGATAAAAATTCAAAGACATAAAAATTATTGATATAGTTGTGCTTTTATATCTCCATGTATAGATCTGGAAAATTTTTACTGGGGTTCATCTCTTCGAATACGTATAATAAGTAACGATGACTTAAAACAGTTGTACTCAGAATGTAAAACTGATTATACAAATGATCATTATGTATCCTGCTTTTCTTTATGAAGACTAAATGATATTATGTAAATATTCATATGATTACTGTATACGTAAAGAGTAGTGTGTACCTAAAATACTCCATATTGAAACATAAAAACTAATAATCAGAAGTCAGCCAATGAGATGTCTCCCTGAAAACTTCATCTCTCTCTTATGAATTAAAATTGGTATAGACACATTCATTCAATAAAAGACACAACAGCAAAATATCTGTTTAAATTGGAATTTCAGTAGCAGTTCCTTCTCATATTTACAGTATTTCAAAGCTTCTTAAACTAAAGTACTATGTGATTATCTAATGCACAAAATTGGTTCCCACACTGCCAGCAATCAATTTGATTGACATATTTACATATCACCTCATCTTGTCTTACAAATTTTAAACTTTTCAATTAATCCAAAAATTCATTTGAGTTGGTTTTCAGAAGAAATTGTTATAGGAATATTTCTTATATTCAAAACATACTAGCAAATTCTTTTATTTTAGAATTATACATACCCAAACGTACATTTATGACTGAGAATGTGTTTAACAGACAGAAAGACAGACAAAGTAGTTGTGTTCACAGCACTTCATGTGAAAGGTAATAAATAATATTTTGCTATTATGAATGAACCTTCAGTCATATTATCTGGCCTGTGGCCATTGAGAGATAGTCTTAAAATGAATTACCATAAACATGAATAATTCTAACTTTAGAAATAATTCTAGTAATTTCTTTAATAACTGCAAAGTTATGCCAGTATCATGTCTTACCTGGTCTTTAATTTCAAGCTCCCTTAGAGTTTTTGTTCTGTACTCTCTGTGCTCCTTTTCTGCCTCATCCTTCTTCATTTTGGTTTGATTCAACTGATAGCGCATTTCTCCACACACCTGTTAGATTACAGAGACAACATGGTATTTAACATGTAATCTATTGGGGATGCCTTCAATTAGATCTCTTGGTGCCCCCTAGAGGCTATTTAAAATAAGTACAATTCTACCTCTTTCAGAAAGATACGGAGCATTTTACTGCAAGAGGCCTTGGACCTCCCCTTGGAACATGCCCCTCATTTTGCAAATGAGAAAATTAGGACTTGAAGTTGATGTTTTCCCAACATTCATTTTGTAATTTTTAATTCACCACGATGACAATAAATTATAAAATAACTCCAGATATTATGTTCCTAATAGGTACCATCATCTACTTTCAATTTGAATCAAATTGTTAACAACAATAATATTTTAAAATCATTTTCTTTTTAAAATTAATATGTTTGAATGATAATTGTACATTATAGCATTACCCCAAATACATGAGTATTTAAGGGTGGTTTTAAAAAGTATTTCGACTTAAATTTCAAAAGCATTTTCAAAGGTGAAAAACTGTAAAGCTAAGAGCTTAATTTTTTTTAACTACATTTTTCTGCTACTTGAGAGTACAATGCTAGGATTTATTTATCTACTTTTATCTTTGGTAGTAACACCTTAAAATTTACTATGGTGTTATATTTTGTAAATAATAATTTAATTGCTGGGAACTTATCGAATGAAGAATCTTCTGCAATAGAAACAGAGCACAACTAAGAGAATGGAGAATCAATAATGTATTTGTTATGAAAATATTTTGAATAGCATTCAAGAAAGATATTTTTTCAATAAATAGCTTGTTATATTAAACAGAAAATATATCACCTTAATGGTGTATTTTATATCTTTCTCTATAATTTTTGTTTTATTTTTACATTTTAAATTCCCTATGGCCTTTAAAGAGATGCACTATACTAAGATATGTGGGTGGTTAAAAAGCAAAATGCAAATTAAGAAATACCAGGGAAACAATGATAGTACAATCCAATACATTAACAACTGCATTTAAATTTATTACATTCACAATTATCATGGCTATTTCTAATCACATCATTTCTATTTAATAATTACTTTTGATGCAAACTTTGAGTTCAGCATTTCTACAACAGCCGAATTACTATGATTTTATGACATCAGAAAATCTTCATGTTTTTCTGTCAAATAAATGTTGAAGAAAAAGCACTATAAACTATTCCTCTTTTTGAACTATCAAGATCACTAAACAAGATAGGTGAAAGAATCAATAACAGATTCTTAACTATTGGCTCATGGAAACCAAAGGACTGAATTAAATTATTAGAAGTATTACTTTCAATTCAATAAATGTCCTCAATATATGAGAGCTGAAAACGTTCATCACAAAACTTTAGGATTTTACAGAAAGTTTTCAATCTCAAATATTAAACAGGAAATTAGGAGTGCCATGGGGAAAAAAACCCTAAAAATACAGAAAAGCAGAATATTTGAAAGCCATTACTTGCTATGATTTTAACACTTAAATATAAACTTTTAAACAATATGTTTGTTATACAATTTAAATTATTATAATTATATTAAAATTTCTTATGACTAATCATAACCTCTCTGGACAGAATTTGTTCAGTTCTCTCCTTTATGCTTACGTATCTACATTATAAACATTTATAAAAGCCTCAATTAGGATATGACAAGAATCCTTTAAAACAAAAGACAATAGAAGAAAAATAATGATTACTTTTACCTATCACCTAAAGGATTATTTATAAAGCATTAGTGACATAAAAATGTGTCAGTATTTAAAGAAACACAGGATAATAAAAATATAATGTTGAAGAATATATACCTTTCAAACAATTTTGGATTGACATTATGAAAAGGGAATCATAAATCCTGTTTTTACATATGAATGTAGACACCTAGATTTACAAGCCACTCCACATCCTGATATTAAGATACGCAGCTTGTATTTCAAAAAATAATCTCAAGAGTGTGATGGTGACTCACAGGCCTTTCTTTTCACAAATAGTAATCCCCTCTACAACATACACAAAAATCTGGCTTCAAACATGGATCTAAAGACCTCCAGTGAGGAGATGCCCACCATGCTCTGAGGCAGGCCATTCTATTTTTCACTATCATAAGTTACTAGAAAAATTTTCATTATATTAAGGAAAAAATCTGATCCCAACTTCTACCCATGGGCTCCTTATTTTGTCTTGTGGAACCAGTCAGAAAAAGTTTTAATTGTCTTTCACTTTTTAAAAATGTATTTTCTTCAAACATTTGAAAATAGTTATCATGCCCTATTAATTAATTCTTATATGGTATAATCTATCATTCTCTCACTATAATGATAAGGCCCCTTTGGGCACATTTCAGTTTGTCAATGTCCTTCCTAAATACGTGGCACCCAGTATTGAACAGAGTAGCTTAGATATGGTCTATACACTAAAGAATATGAGAGCACTAGCATCTATTGGCAGAGGTCTAACATGCAGTTTTGGTGCCTAAGGCGAGCAGCCACGCAGTTGAGAGAAGAGGAAGCAACGTACTAGCACACCACTTGGCTTTAAATGCTGCCGAAGGACTGACTGCCTCTGCGGAGGAAGAAAGCATGGCCACCAGTAAACTTACCGCCCTGGGAACAAGCCCAAATGGCTCCATTCTAGTCATAACTCTGCCTCTCTCTTTCTGGATATTAAATTGATATTAATTCAGACTAAAACCAATTAGCTTTTTTGGCTGCTGTTTCATTCTGTTAACATACGTTGAACTTGCAGAATACTATAAACTTCTGGCTGACTTGCCTTCCCCCCACCCCCCATCTTTTATTCACAATGTTGCTTTTCTGAACCTAAGTATAAGAAATTTAGCTTATCTTAATTAAATTTCATTTTATTTGAGTCCATCATTACAGTCTACTGAGATCCTTTTGAATCCCAATGTTGTCTTCCATTTAATGGTTTGTGTCATCCGCAATTTTCATAAACCTATCATCTTTAACTTCATTTAAGATACTGAAACAAACACTGAAGAATTCAGGGCCCAAATCAAGCAATCAGCAAGCATTTACGTGGGGCATACAGAGTGCCAGGCATTGTGTTGGGCACTGGAGATACAAGGACAAAAATGAAACCATCCTCCCCCATTCTAATGGGGGAGACATCACCCCCCCCACACACACACACACATACATAGGTGAATTCAACACAAATAAAAAGTAATTTTTGGTGAGGAGGAACTAGCAGCTGTGAGGATCAAGAAAGGTTTCATGTAGAAGAAGACATTCTGGTGCAAACTTGAAGCAAACTAAGGTTTTCACAAGGCAGAGTTGAGGAAGGCGTGATTCCCAGGCATAGGGGACCATCTGTGGGAAAAGTGGAACAGTGTTGTCTGTGCGAAGAACAGTAAGATCAATCTGATTGGAACATGAAGAACATGAGGAAGAGGAACATATAGTGATATTAGAAAAGTAGGCTGCAACCAAGTTGTGATGTGTTTAAATACCCAAAAGAGGAATTTATATTTTATCCTTGGAGTAACAAGTTGCCAATGGAATTCAATTGAGATGGGGAGTGATTTGGTCAGATTTGGTATATTAGGAAAATTACTTGGGTAGTTGTATGGAAGATGGATTGGAGAGGGGAACACCTTGAGGTAGGGAGACCAATGGAGTCCATATGAGAAGTGATAAGGATCTGAATTATGGTGGTAGCTGCAGCTAAATAGATGAGAGGATGTATGAGAGAGATGTGGGGACATATATGATTAGACTTGGAAACAAAATGGATATGTGGGGAAACTGAAAATGAGGAATCAAGTATGACCATGAGGTTACAAACCTAGGTGACAGAAACGTGTTGTGCCATTGAAAGTAATATGGAATTTAGGAATAATGAGGGATTACAAAAGATTATGAGCTCTGTCTTGGCCATGTTCCATTTAAGACATTTAAGGGACATTCAATTGAAGATGTTCAGTGGGCGGTTGGGGATGTAGGATTGGAGCTTAAGAGACCAGGACAATATATTTGGATAAGGGAGCCATTTAAATGGAAATAATTAAATGCATGGAAGCTGTGACCTTGATTATAGACAGAAGAGGTAGAACAGGACTTTGGGTTATACCCACAGCTAGAAAGTGAGATATATGGATGATTTAGAAACAGAAACTGAGAAGTAGCAGTCAGTCATAAAGGAAAACTAAGAAAAAGCAGTGTCACAAAAATCCAGAATGAGAAACAACTGCTCAAATTGGAAATTAAAACATCACCGTTAACTTTGGAGTGAGCTGCTTCAGTTGAATTATGAGTTTGGAAGTAGGACTACAAAGGTTAGAAATGTGAGTAAGAGAAAAGAAAGCAAAATCAGGTGCAGATAACTTGTTCTAAGAGTTTGCTGTAGCAGGGAGGAAAGAAATAGAGAGATAGCTTGAGGGGATGGTAGTGTCTAATGGGGGTATTTTTAAGGATGGGAGAGATCTAGGTGTTTTTATAGGCAATATACTTTGACTAGGTATAAAACTAAAGATTAGAGTACTACCAGCAACAAAAAACTAGAGAAAAGGTCTGTAAGGAAAAGAAGAGGAAGGAGAGTAAGCAATTTTTCCAAGTATATGATTCAGAGTTTGGAAGTAAACATATTAAGTACACTTCCAAAATCGTTGGCACCAAATTACTAAAAAGTACTTTGAAAGTTTGAAAACCGGGGTTATCTCTGACAAAAAAAAAATCTTCTGGTTCATTTTCAAATGTTTTACCAAAAATTCATTTTGGAATAATCATATTTTCTTAGCACCTATTAATTATTTCTGATTATCAATGAATATAGTCGCATAATTCAATTTCACAGCAATAAGGATATTTATTTCAACTGTTCCCCCAATGAACTCTTCTCACCTCTGTCAGGTCTACATCATGACAAGCCAGTTGTTTTTGAGCTTCTTCTAACTGATTAGCTATTGAGAGCTTCTCTCTTGTAACCTTCTCCACCTGAGCTTCTAGGTCTGCCATATTCTGAGATAATGCCAGCATCTACAACAGGAAAGAAAATCTCTGAGTAAAAAGGCACTCAAACAAACAAAAAATACCATATGTTTCTTAATAAAGCCTCAGTCCATCTATCAGGGTGTACCGTTGTGTTATTTCTCAATTACAACTTCTCTTGGAAACTGATGCATTAATTTATCCCCTACTTGTCCATGATGTAGATTGTGTGCTATGGTTATTATTCATCCTTCAGGTTTATGTACCCGTTTAGGAGCCAGGTTGTTTTTAGTCTAAATCTAGAATAAGAACTAGACATTTCTCCCTCAGAGGGGTTTTCCCCAAGGATCTTCATAGACAACAAGGTTCACATGTTGTTTCATCAGGGTTAGGAATTACAGAACCTAACTGATGGAAGGGTCCAGAGAGGTCATCTTGTCCCACCCTTAAAAATATGGGCATACCTTTATGGTACTTTGCAATTAGGACTTCTTATATAAACAGGTAAATTGTGAATGCTCATCTCTTGATCTATAGCTTAGAGCTTTTTAAGAAAAGGTTAACATTTATAACAGTTTGATCTTATCCTTCAACTCAAACTATCCTATATTTACCTGGTAGGACTTTAGAATCAACTTGTACTATCTATATAAAAGAATCACTTTTTGTCAGAAGAAGAAATATTTGTGCAATGAAAGCACTAACGCTTATACTACACTAATGAACAGAAAATAAATCTGCAACAAAGACAAATTTTTAACTGCATAATTTTAATCACCTCAAAAAGAACATTTAAACCAATTTTTGCTAAAATAATACTTAAAAATTTAATATTAATAAAATATTAAAATAGCTCCCATATGAATGCAAAGTTGATCTAAATAGAAATAATGGAGGTACAGTGGCTGCATGTTAAGAATCATTTAAGAATTATTAATTTTTCTGTGAGAACTTTGAAGAACTCCACTTTTATGTGTAAATGTTCATTTTATCATCTAAACACTTAAGCTTCATGAAATTTTTGTGCAACACTGTCCTGATTAACTGCAGGTGACCAGAGTATAATAGAAACAGTATGGTATGATAAAATAAAACAAAGGACTTGGGAGTCAAATGCCCTTGGTTTTACTTCTAGCTCATCCATTTACCTACTGGTAACTCTGGGCAAGTCACTTTATTTCATCAGTTTGAACATCAGCATCCTCTCATCTGCAAAATGGGGATGTATATGACATATATTTATGTGGTTCACATATAATTTTATATACAAACATATATAAATATATATGTATATATAGACACACACATACATACATACATATGAGATACCCCACAGAGTTGTCATTGGTTGGTATAGGGGACTTCCAGAGTGAGGAAACTCCCTCTACCAATATAGTTCATTCAATTAATTAAAAAAAAATGTTTTAAGTGCTTGTTACATGCTGGGCACTTTGTTAAGCACTTGAAATACAAGCATAAAGAATGAAATAATCTCTGCTGTCAATGAGCTTACATTCTAATAGGGGATCTGAAAATAGTATGAATAAAGATAATCATTAACATTAAGAAGGGAGAGGAAAAAGGAGAGAAGAGGGAAGCAGGAGTAGGGGGTGAGGAGGAGGGGACAGAGAGGGAGACAGGAGAAGGAATGGGAATGGTTAGATAAGAGGAGAATCAGGAAAGAACAGTATCATAAACACCCAAAGAAGAAAGACTAGTAAGGAAGAAAGGGTGGTCAATAGTGGTACATATAGCAGAGAGGTCAAGTAGTACTGAAGACTAAGAATAGATTATTAGATTTTGCAATTAAAAGATCATCAGCAACTTAGGAAAGCGGAGTTTGAATTGAATAATGAGGTGGAAGGCCAGCATTCAAAAGTTTGAAGAGTGAAAGAAGTGGAGAAAGTGAATGTAGTCAGCTTTTTCAAGAGTTATGCCTGAAAAAAGGAGGGAAGACATAGGATAATTGGAAGGGATGGTTCAGTTTAGTGACGGTTGTTTATTTTTTAGGATGGTGTTGATTTAGCCTCGTATGAAGGCATTAGAGAAGGAAGAAATTGTTAGGGAGGGGTTGAAGATTGGACAGGAATGGGATGCGTGTATCAGGGGGTGGGCCTTCTGGTTCTGAAGCCAGCTCTCTATCTACTAGTATACCATGTTGTCTCTTGATAAACTATATAGCATAAAAATTTTGATGAATTATTTGGCATATTTCATTTCCTTTAAAAAATTAAGTCCATGATCATTATCATTATAAATGTATAAATTATAGTTTAGCCATTGCTACCTAACAGCAGCAAATCTTAATTGCCAACTAGTTTAAATTATATCTTTTTCATTTAGGGCAATCTGTGGTTAAACACACATTGTGTTCTTTTCAAACACAGTATGTTAAAATTTTTATTTTACCAATCGAATGTGACATGTCAGCCACAAACTAAAGTGTATAACTTCTCCTTCCTTGCCAGTGATTACCCCCATTGCCCATTCCCCTCAGCCACTCAGGGCCTTTTCCAGCCCACTTCCTGTCTGCTCTCTCCTAGCATCCACTTTCTGAGGTCTCCTCCCCTGTTGTCATACCTTCCTTTTCTCCATTTCTACCATCTGGAAACCAACAATGCAGAAGCCACAGGAGGTGCCCCAACTGCATCTGTTGCCAGGACAGAAGTAAGAAACACAGCTGCAGCACTGCTGGATTTCCAGAACACTGGCATTAGGTAAGTCTTTTACTTTGACAGGGGCAGAGAGTTCAGACAGAACAATCAGGCTAGGACAGGCTGGTGCACGTTTTTAAACTCTAATTCTTCCTTGTGTTCTGATCAGAAATTATTGTCAAGATGCACTTTCATGGAAAAGGGATATGATTCCATTCAATAAGCACTGATAAAATGCTCACTATGTGCATGGTGCGGTGGATAAGGGCCAGTTAAAAAGATCTGGGTTCAGATTCTACCTCTGACACATACTAACTGTATGACCCTTGATGAATTACTTTTGCAGCTTAAACAAAACGATAAAAACTCAAGATCAAGTCCTATTCATTGTAGATGGTACATAATAGGCAAATGATAAATTATTTTTTATTGTTACCTTCACATATCCAAATTACCAATAGAAAATAAGTAGCTTTTATTATAGAGTAATAGATTACTAAATATCTCAGTAGAAAAACAGAATAGAAAAAAAATAGTATACCCAAAACTGAGTTCATTTTCTTCCCTCAGATATCTTCTTTTCCTCCACAATTTCTATGTCATGATTAGCCAGATTATTTTTTTTAAAAAAAGCTGCTATGAAAGATATGTGTGATCAGAAAAGGAGATAGGTGTAGCAGCAGTAAAGAATAATAAATGGACAGCTCAAATGTTTATACTGGTTTCCACAAAATATTAAAAGAACCAGAGGAAGGCCTCCAGAATGTTAAGTAGATCCCTTGGGAAGGATTTATGTTTGGAAAATTAAAAGACATAACCAAAAATTATACAACCTGAAAAAATATGGACATCACGCGTTAGCAGAAAATATGTGATTTGCACTAGCAAGGAATGTTCCCACATCGATGAGATCATGGTTCCATTAAAGAAATTACCTTTTTTTTAACATTACTATGTGCCGAGCCTTGTGCTAATTATTAAGGATACAACTAGAAAAGTAAGACTGCGCCTTCTATCAAGGAGCTCATATGTTAATGGGGGGGAAATAACGTACATGGAAGGTTTCAGCTATCAGAGAGAAAAATCCTATGCTTCTTAGGATACAGTGGCAAAGCAGCTGTTAAAGCCCCTTCTTTAATTTTATTTCCACTGATAAAATGACATTAGTTTCTTATGTCAAACCATTTAATGGTGCTAAGGACTCTGGAATGCCTCCATCTTCAGGGGCTGTTGCTTCTCATAAACAATTACTGAGCCTCATTTCCAGAGAGGCTGCTTCTTAGGAAGATGGTTGAGGGTACTAGGCTGGAAGCATGGCCTTTCTCAAGGCTCTTGCATTCAGACTTCTGGGCAGTCTGCATGAAGTTGAAATGGTGGTCAGGGAGGTGGTGGTTGTCTCTTTCTCAGGGCACCTTGATGCTTCAGTGAGGCTTGCTTGCCTGCTGTATGTGTGACAACTGGTTGGTAATTGGAGGAGATGGCTGCTGGTCTTTTCTCTATTAGAGGTCCTTCCCCAGATGATGGCTGTGAGGACTAGGCTGGAAGGAGGACAAATGATCTGAAAGCCGCTGCTATTCCCAAGGCTCCAGTGCCTATCACAGCACTTGATTTCATATCTTACCGCCTCTAGAAAGATCACATGTGTGCTGGCTTAGGTGATCTTTTTGGTGGTGTGGCAAATACCTTGTGTTTGTTAAATTTCATTAGGAAATTGTTATGGCTCACGCCAATGTCTGTGGCATTATCCATTCCACATTTCTGGTATCAAGAATTTGTTTAAATAGATCAAATCAGTCATTTTAACTGCATGGCTATCTTATTTTCATCATTATTCTTTTTTCTCATTTGGTGTTGATTTATGAGGCATGCAATAGCTACTTCATATATGTTTATGGTTAATTCTAAGTTGATGGTCTAACTAGAGAAAGCTAATTCAGAAATGACTCCCACATCAACAATCAGTTATCTCCTGTTTGTCATGATAGAGTCAGTCTCATTTTCGTGATGTTTTGTGCTTAATGTTTACAGCTGCTTCTGACTCTCTTCTGCGATAAAACATTCACCATATGTAAGTGTGGGCTTGTCTGTAATGGATATGCCTTTAGCCTCTCACTTCTTGATCCTGTGCCATACTTTCCCAACACATTTTTTGCTATTCTCGCTTCTGCCCACCTTGCTTTGAAATCACTAAATATTGTAGCATATGTTGACTTCAAATTTGGAGAGTCTTATCAATACAATTCTTTGTAGAATTTCTCTAATTCATTCTCTGAAACAGATGCTGCTGTATAAGCTGCAATTATGCTTGTGGTAGTCTTTTTGCTTATACATATAATGAGCACCATATAGTGAAACGATCAAGGAAATTATTTTTCTTTTTGCCTTTGAATATATGATGAAATCAAGTCTTCTCTAAGGATAGTCTATAAATCATCCTCTATTTAGCTGTGATGTCTTCTTTTCTTCTGGCTTCATTACAGCAAGAATGTAAATAATGGCACACTTCAGTTCTTCCAGTAGTTGATTCATTGGCCTTTGAATAAGGATGTTACATTGAGATTACACACTCTTCAATTAAATTTATAGGTCTCCAAATAATAAGTTTCTAAGCATCTTCTGTTCCTCTCTGTGTCACTCTACAAATGTCCCTACACAAACAGGAAGCAGGAAGGACAATGAAGAGAACTATCTTATTTTGATTTTTTCTTGGTTTTACAGCCTGGTGTGGTCAGCCTCCGTGATAAGCTTCTTCTCAGGAAGGTAAATCCTCTTACAGCAGATGGAATTTGCAGCCTTTCCAACATAGAAAAACTTGTTAGAGCTTTCACCCCTACGGCACAGCCTACTAAGAACTCATGAGCATTGGCCATTACAGTATATTACTTCTGTGGCATATGTACTATTCTATGTAAAGACTAGAATGATATAAAGTTCTTGAATAAAGCTCAAGACAAAGCAAAACAGAAGAATACTGTCAGAGATTTAATAAAAATAAGACAAGGTAATACATTTTAAACTTGTTTAAACTTGTATTTTCATCAATTATAGATTTAAATATTTAACACCAGTTACCGTTGCTCCCAGATCTTCCCGTTCTTTTTTCATCTCTTGTCTCAACACCTCCTTTTCATTGAGTCGTTTCTCTTGCTGGATTACAAGTTCTCTTTCAAATCGACTCTTCTGTCTCTCTAGCTCAGTCTTTAACTGTTCACACTGAATTAAAGCCTATCAGATAAAAATTAATATAATTGCTGGGTTATAATATGTAAAAATGTAAGAGCTTAAATTTTCAGATTTTTTAAAGTAATTTGAAGTTTTGAGATGTTCATATGGGAACCAATAAATAAAAAATATTATCAGCCTTGGAACATGGAAAATAAAATCAGAGGCCACTTTGCTGTTTTTTATACTTTAAGCTAATCTCATGTTTCTACTGAGAGATTTAACATAACATGAATAAACTAAGAAGTACAAGCATTTGGAACTTTAGATAGGGTCAGTAATATGATATAGGAGTTAGATAAAGAGATCAGAAAAAAATTCTCATTACTTACTCTGAGTGTAACTCTAAAATAAAATACGTAAGCATTCAACAGTTGATTTTTCACTCATGAATATGATCTTTGGATACTATAAAGAATAATTCAATAACCAATTTAGAAATATACATTTAATTCAAAATTATATACAAGATTTTGTTTGAGATTTTATGATAATCAACCCTCCTTAAATAAATTCAGTTCATGCTTTGGTTGACTATACTTATTGGCATTGCTGTTAATAAAAACTAGGCAATAAATCATAAGATAATAAAGTCACAAACCCAGTGATTATCTGATTGTAGAAAATGATGCAGAATTAATTCCCTATTTGAATTTTAATTTATTTTTTTAAATAACAGGGAGATTCTTACTTTGCTCCTTATATGCTTATTCAGGAAAGAAAAGTCTACTTTTTATACATGCTATATTTTATGATGTCATTTTCTTCATCTTACATATTTTACAGAAATGTAAAAAATACCACCAATTAAAGGGTATTCAGTGAGAAAACTAATTTTTTTTTTACCATTTTAGTCTGAGGCAGCCCTTATCCAAAATACTAACACTGCATGTCTCTCCTCCCCCTTGAATTCCTAGAAATCCATGCCCCATAACATCAACGAGACAATTAGTAAACTTTTTTTTTTAAGTTTTGGGTAAGGATATGCTTCCCTCTAGTGAAAACTAGAATTAATACACTCTATCTTCAATCAGGGAACTTTATAAAGCATTGCTTCTCCTAAATGAGAATCTTTCTCACTTGAAAAACTTATAAAAATCATGATTTCCATAAAATTCTTTGGTAAAGTTTCTGTTTTCGTGTGAGAACACAATTTTGCAATCCCTTGACATAATTTCCTCTTGTTTTTCCCTTTACTCCAGTCTCTGATGATGTGTTCCTCATTCTGCTCAAGGCTAATTCCTTGTCTGATCCCATCCCCCTTTCTTCTTAGGCAGATACAGGGGTGGGGAACTTGTGGCCTTCTGGGTCCTTGGGTGTGGCCTTTTGACCCAGTCCAAGTTTTACAGAACAAATCCTTTTATTAAGGGGATTTGTTCTGTGAAGTTTGGATTCAGTCAAAGGGTCACACTTGAGGACCTAGGGGGCCACATGTGGCCTCAAGGCCCCAGGTTCTCCACCCCTGGCCTGTCCACTTCCTTATGGATCTAATTCCATTGCTATTATCGGGTTAGACTAACTACAATTTGAGGTGAACTCTGCCTAGTTTAGGTGTTTATCACTACCACCTAGTACAATGGCTGGCATACCAAAGGTGCTTACTGAATTGAATTTCTCGGCTCTGCCTCTGCTGCTGGCTCTTGACCACCCTGGTTCTAATAGACACCTAGATTCCTACTTCTCCCAACTAAGATCAGAGGTTAACTCTTGGTGTATAGGCAATGGTTGCCCAGCAATGACAAATAATACCTATCATTCAATCAATCACCCAATATTTATTAAGCACCTAAAATGCTCCAGGCATTGTGGGAAGTGGTAGGGATAAATATAAAGAATGAAACAATATCTACTCCCAAGGAGCTTATTGTAATGAGGCAGACAAGTACATATATAAGTATATACAGGATAAATATAAAGAGAAAAAATATACCAAGTAGTTCAATACAAAGTAATTTGAGACAGCTAGGTGGCACAGTGGACAAAGCACTGGGCCTGGAGTCAGGAAGACCTGAGTTCAAATCATACATCTACTAACTGTATGATCCTGGACAAGTCATTTACCCTCTGTCTGCCTCAGTTTACTCAACCATAAAATGGGGACACTTACAGCAACTGCCTCCCAGGATTGTTGTGAGGATCATGAGATAATATTGGCAAAGCACTTAGCACAGTGCCTGGTACAACATTAAGTGCCATATTAACACTAGCAAGTAGTAGTAGTACTGGTAGTAGCAGCAGCAGCAGTTGGAGAATCAAGAAAGGCTTCATTTAAGTGGTGCTTCAGCTACAAGGACAAAGTGGAGAGAGGATGCTTTCCAAACATAGTGGACAGATAGAGCATGGAGACTGGAGATGAAATGTTACTGTACAAGGAACTGAGAGGCCAGTGTGTCTGGATCATAGAGTTCCAGAGTGAAAATAATGTACTGCGAGGCTGAAAAGATAGGGTTAGGGTACTGTATTAGATCGTAGAGGTAACAGGGAACCACTAAAGTTTATTGAGAAAAGGAGTGACAGGGTCAGAGCTATGTTTAAGGAGAATCACTTTAGACTACAATGAGAAAGACAGAGTGATGAGAATTATTCCACAAGCAACAAGCATTCATTAAGCAATTACTATATACTAGGCACTATGCTAAGCAGCAGTAATACAAATGAAAGCAGAAAGAAAGATAGCCCCTGTTTCAAGGAGTCCCAAGTTTACATTCTAATGGAGGGGAAGGAGGGAGTAAAACATGTACAGGGAAAATAAAGGGGATGAAAGGGTTGGGCAACTAAGGTGGGGGGAAGGGGCTTAGTAGAGAAAAGTCTGAAGTGCATCAGCCAATTAGGAAGCTAATGCAATAATGAGGGAGAAAAGTGAAGAGGGCTTGAACTAAGGTGGTAGCTGTGTAAATAGACAGCATGGTAGGATGCTGTGGAGGCAGAAATGCCAAGATCTGGCAACTTAATTGTATATGTGGGATAAGCAATAGTGTAGAGCCCAAGATAATGCTAAGGTTGAGAATGTGAGAGATTGGAAAAATGGTGCTGCTTTTAACAAAAATATAAAAATTTAGGACAGGACAGGGAAAAGACAACAATTCTGTTTTGGATGTGTTAAATCTAAAATGTCTCCAGGACATACAGTTTGAAATGTCTAATAGTTAGTTGATAATAGAGAACTGGAGCTCAGGGTAGAAACTGGGCTGGAAATATAGGTCTGTGAGTCAGTAGCATAGCGACCCTTGAACCCATGTGAGTTCATGAGGGAGAGAGAAGAGTACAGGGCCTTGGACAGAGCCATAAGGAAAATTGTGAGGGTTTGTGATATGAAGAAAAAGAAATTAGACAGGCAGGAGGAAAACCAAGAAAACCAAGAAGTCACAAAAGCCCAGAGAAAGGAGATCACCCAGTAGGTAAAAGTGGGCAAAGGTGAAATGCAGCAAATAGGTCAAGAAGGATAAAGACTAAAAAAAAAAAACCAAAAAACGAGATTTAGCAATTAATATCTTTCAGCTGGTAACTATGCAAAAAATATTTTATTTAAATGATGAAAGAAGATTTAAAAGGTTTGGGGGTGAGAAGAGAGAAGTAGAGGCAGAGTCAAGATGGCTTTTTCAAGGAGTTTGGCTAAGAAGGAGAAGAGAAATATACAATAATAGCTTGAGGGGATGGCAGTGACTAATAAAAGGTTTTTTAAAGACTAGGAAGCCTTGGGCACTTTTGCAAGTAATAAGAAGAAACCAGTAGATTGGAAAAGGCTGAAGATTAAAGATGGGATGATTGAAGTTACAATCTGCTGAAGAAGACTGGAGGGATTTGATCAAGGATACATATAGAAAGGTATGTCTTGGCAAAGAGAAATCCCTCCCTCCACTGTTAGAGGCTAGAGGAAAGAATTCAAGAATGAGAGATAATGTCAAGGTATTCTGAGATAAAGAGAAAGGAAGAAAAGGGACCTCACAGTAAAGTAAGAGACAAGATCCTTAGCTGGGAGAGAGGGAGGCATGACAGGTTTGAGAAGATAAGAAAAAATTATAAAGAGTGAGACAGGAGTTCAACTAGGGAGAAATAAAAAAGATTGCCTTGTAATGAGAATGCAATCAAAGATGGTTAACAGGCATTTATAATGTACACATTCAATACTGCTGTGTAACTTCCTCCAACTCTGTTTAGCAAGAATGGAGGAAGCAGATGGTAGAAGTAATCCGGAGATGAGGCTGGCAGGGGATGAGTGACAATAGGACAAGGAGAAAAGAGATCTGAAAACAGAGGACAGAGTAGAGTTGAATTAGCTAACTAGGGGCAAGACTGGAAAGGGAGGAAAGTGAAATCAGAGCACGGATAACATCATGACATCATGGTAAGAGGTGGAGGATGCTGAAGGTCTCAATGAAGGCAAAGAATAGGTTTAGGTTTATGGTTGGACAGAAGAAGGAAGAGTTATTCAATTAGGGAAGTGTCAGACTTGTGGGTGATATAATTTAATCTATTCTATTATCCAGAATATGATCTATATTTGGCTGAGATGGAGTGAAGCGTTAAGTCCTGGGATTTAAGGAGTCTGAGGAACTGGAATATTAGGGAGTTCTGAGGAAACATCAACATGAATGCTAAAGTACCCTCATGTAAGGAAAAGCACTGGGAAGGAGAAGAAAGTGGTGAGCCAGGGGTGTAGTCTTTCAGAAAGGTACCCTCATGTAAGGAAAAGAGCTGGGAAGGAGAAGAAAGTGGTGAGCCAGGTGGTGTAGTCTTTCAGAAAGGTATCCTCATGTAAGGAAAAGAGCTGGGAAGGAGAAGAAAGTGGTGAGCCAGGTGGTGTAGTCTTTCAGAAAGGTACCCTCATGTAAGGAAAAGAGCTGGGAAGGAGAAGAAAATGGTGAGCCAGGGGTGTAGTCTTTCAGAAAGGTACCCTCATGTAAGGAAAAGCACTGGGAAGGAGAAGAAAGTGGTGAGCCAGGTGGTGTAGTCTTTCAGAAAGGTACCCTCATGTAAGGAAAAGCACTGGGAAGGAGAAGAAA